CTGAGTTCAAATCCAACCTCAGACACTTGACACTTACTAGCTGTGTGACCCTGGACAAGTCATTTAACCCCAATTGCCTCACCAAAAAAGGAAAAAAAAGGCTGGAAAAGTGGGAGGGGGGACCAGGTTATAAAGGGCTTTGGAGGCCAAACAGGACTTTCGTACTTGATCCTGGAGGTGATAGGGAGTTTATTGAGTAGAGGAGTGTCGTGGTCAGACCTGCTTTTTAGGAAAATCCCTTTGGTGGCTGAATGGAGGATGGATTGGACGGATGGGGAGAGACTGGAGGCAGGTAGGTTTCCCAGCAGACTACTGCAACAGTCCAGGCATGAGGTGATGATGGCCTGTACCAGGGTGTGGACGGCATAAGAGGGGACAAGGGGGACAGGCCTGGGCAGAAGCTTGGATGTGGGAGGGTAAGAGATAGTGAAGAGACCAGAGTGCTGCCTAGGTCGGGAGTCTGGGGAACAGGAGGATGGTGCTGCCTCGATAGTAGAAGGGAAGGTCTTAGGGGGAAACACAGTGAGTTCTGCTTTGGACGTGAGTTTAAGCTGGCCTCTGGATGTTCAGGTTTGAGACGTCTGCAGTTGGAGATGCAAAACTGGACATCAGTAGAGAGATTGGGGCAGAAAAGGTGGATTCTCCAGCCATCAGTGTAGAGATGGTCATTACATTCACAGGAGCTGGTGAGATCACCAAATGAAACCGTAGAGAGGGAGAAGAGGAGGACTCAGGACAGAGCCCTACAGGACACCCATGGTTAGAGGGCGTGATCTGGAGGAGGATTCCTCAGATAAGTCCGAGGAAAGCCAGGAGAGAGGAGAGGACCAAGAAAGGAGTGGGTTTTCAACAGTGTCACCGGCTGCAGAGGGGATTGAGAAAATATGACATTATAGTCACATGCTGCAGTTTGTTCAGACATTCTCCAGACCGTGGGAACCCACTCTATTCCTAGTTTTCGGCAACCACAGAAAATGGGGCCGTGAACATCTCGGGGCCTGAGGGGCGGGTCTTTCGGTCTTTGCTTCATCTTTGGTGACTGGCCAGTAGTCAGATTATTGCTAAATCTAAAGGCCTTGGTGATGTGACGTCTTTAAATCCATTTCTCAAGTGCAAGACGTTTTTATGGGATCACAGAGCACATGCTCAGGGACCTCAGGGGTGTGTGACTATAATGTCATATTATGGCACCAGAAAATTCAGAGAAACTTGGGAAGATTTGTGCGAACTGATGCAGAACAAAGTAGGGGAACCAGAAGAACAAAAACCCCAGTGACTACTATTAAAAAAGTAAAGCAGAGCCCTGACCTCATATAGAAACAGTTTAGCATACTGACTCAGAAAACCACACATTCACATTATCTAGGTTGCAATGAATTTTCATTTTCTCAATCCCCTCTGCAGCCAGTGACACTGTTGAAAACCCTCTCCTTTCCTGGTCCTCTCCTCTCTCCTGGCTTTCCTTGGACTTATCTGAGGAATCCTCCTCCAGGTCACGCCCTCTAGTCTGATTCACTACCTCCTTGGCGAAGTGACTGGTCTAAGGATATGCAGACCGCTAAATGGTAGTGCTGACCCCCATGGGCCTCTCCTTTGCCCTTTGGGTCAACCTCAGAGTAATACTAGGCAGCTGGGTGGCACAGTGCATAGAGCACTGGGCCTGGAGTCAGGAAGACCTGAGCTCAGATCCAGCCTCAGACACTTACTAGCTGTGTGACCCTGGGCAAGTCATTTCATCCTGTTTGCCTCAGTTTCCTCATCTGTAAAGCTTGAGAAGGAAATGGCAAACCACTCCAGCGTCTCTGCCAAGAAAACCCGAACAGGGTCACAAAGAATCGGACACATTTGAACAACAACAGTGGAGTAATATTCCTAAGGTATTTATTTTCTCCACGAAGTACCTGTAAATCATCCTTCTGTCTAGCTGATTCCCATTCTTGGTCAGCTTTCATTTATAGAAAGAATGTCAAAATTCACCCGACTCAGTTCCATTCCTCCAGCAGCAGGCCTGCATGTTGGACGTTGGACTGAGAAATTCACCGGTCACCAACCTGGAGATTGGAGAAGGCCTACATACCATGGGATTCTCAGTACCTGCTGTCACTGTAGAAGCAGAAGGGAGCCACACACCCCTGAAGGCCATTTAAAAGTTTTCAGATTCAGTTAATGAAAAAAAAAAACCAAAGCTAACGTTTATATAGTGCCTACTGTGTGCCAGGTGCTGTATAAAGCACTTTGCAAATATTATCTCATTTGACCCTCACAGCAGTCCTGGGAGATAAGTGCTGTTGTTATACCCATTTTCCAGATGAGGAGAATGAGGTGTACAAAGGTACAGTGACTTGGCCAGAGTCACAAAGCTAGTAAGTGTCTGAGGAAGATTTGAACTCAGTTCTTCCTGACTTTGGGTCTTTACTGAGCCACCCAGCTGCTCCAATCAATGCCTTATTTCTTCGTAGCATTCTTATCAGTTTGGGATCTTAGCTGGTTGTGACAGCATCCCCTCACCATCACCCTGTGAGGTACCTGGGGAGGGGATTATGATGGTGATCTTACAGATGGGGAAAATGAGGCACAAGACAAGGGAAAGGATTTGTTCAAAGGCACAGCAGTAGTGAGGTGGATAAGCCAGTTCTTACCTCCTGACATCCTGTTTTCTCCCAAGCCCCTTGAACAAAACACCGAGGCTGGGAGGAGAGTGGAGGGAAAGACAGGAGGGGTGAGGGAGGAAAGGTCACTGAGCAGCAGACACAATCCAAGGCCCCTGGTGTACAGTTTCCTGGCTGCCCTTGAGCTCTGGCCTTGGTGGGAGAAGAAGGTCCAGCTGGGACCTGGGTGGGGGGGCAGCGGGAGACAGTGCTGAGGGGGTGAGGAGGGGCTGGGCTGGCCTGGAGGGCGAGCTGTGAATGGATCACAAGGATTTGGAGATCTCTAGGCTGAGCATTGGTTCAGTGATGCCCTCTGGTGGATTTCTTCTCCCAAAAGAAAAAGAAATTCCATTTTTTGTTTTTTGGGGTTTTTTTGGTCCAAGGCAACCAAACCCCAAATGGGTGGTCAGGAAGACTGTCCAGTCCTTTCTTCTTCCCATAATAACATTAACTGACATTACACATTTCTTTAATTGACATCTTTGGTTTTTAGATCACCTACATTTCTCACTATGTCTTTGCCCCTTCTAAAAAGCCATCTCTTGTAACAAAGAAAAAAGAAGAGAGGGAAAAAAATCAGTTCATCAAAACTAACCAACATATTGAAAAAGTCTTATGTTATATTCAGCGTTTTGTAGGTTAGTTCTCCACCTTTGCAGAGAAGCAGGGCCAGGTTTCCCTGCATCTTTCTTTTTGGAAGCTAAGTTTGAATTAATTCCCATCCATCATACAACACTTTATACATGTCAACTCACTTGTCAACAGCCCTTTGGGTGAGGCCCTATGGTCCTTATCCACCCCCATTTTACAGATGAAACTGAGTCTTACACATGTCAAGTGACTTACACAGGGTCACGCAGCTGAAGTGCCAGAGGTGACATTTGACCTCTAGCCTTTCTTACTCTAAAGCTAACTTTTGAACCAACCATGATGCTTACCTGCTGCTCTCTGAGAGGGCTCTCAATTATGGAGGTGGTTGTAGGGAAACTGTGCCCTCTCATATTCAGATAGCATTCTGAAGAGTTTTGTAGTAATAACTCACATTACAAGTTTCTACATAAACATCATATTAATGATATATAATAAATATGTAAATGTAATAAAATGCATATGTATTAGAAATATATGTGATATATTATATGTAACATATAAACTATATTATAGAAATGTAATGAATATAAATATAGTAAACATAATATATTAATGACATAATGATATAATACAATTTAGATATAATAAGATACATTTACATATTATACAATATGACACATATACTTTATATAATACATTATATAATCATAATAATGCAAATCCAAATATAGTAAATAACATAATAAATGTTATAACACTGAAGCAACATCCCAGTGCTTCACATCCAACCAACTGTCCCTTGCAACAAAGTATATATATAGCAAGCAAGACAAGTCAAGGTATTGATCATGTCTAACAGTATGTGTCTCATTCTGTACCTATAGCCCCTCATGTCTTAATTTAAAAAAAAAAATTTTTAGCCCTTCATGTTGTTGCTGGGGTGGGGGACACACATGTTTTGTTGTGTTTTGTTTTTGCTAGGCAGTGGGGTTAAGTGACTTGCTCAGGGTCACACAGCTAGTAAGTGTTATGTGTCAAGAGTCTGGATTTGAACTCAGGTCCTCCTGACTCCAGGGCCGGTACTCTATCCACTGCGCCACCTGACTGTCCTGGGAAACATGTTTTGGCTTCAGCCCTCTGCAGTCAGGGTTGGTGAGTGGTCAACGTGCTGGTATTTTTCACATTTCTGTAACGTTCTTTGGTGAGAAAAGTGTTGTTACCTCCCATTTTCTAGATGAGGAAAATGAGGCTTATGGAGTCACAGGACTCCATAAGGGATCTCAGGGGCCATCTGGTCTAACCCTCTGGTTTTACAGATGATGAAAATGTGCACAGTGAGATCATGACTTGCCCAGGGTCACATAGGTATTAGTTGTCAGAGGTGGGATTTGAACCCCGGTCCTCTGACTCCACAGCCAGTGTGTTGTCTGACAGTGTATACAAAGGCGGGATTTGAACCTAGGTCCTCCGACCCCAGTCACGCTGCATCCGTAGAACCCAGGTCTGGTGTCTCTTCTCCAGTCAGTTTGGGGGGGGGGCAGTGTTACCCCCTGCTGGGTCAGCTAGTCGGTCAGCAAGTCCTGGTTAAGCTCTGATTAGGTACCAGCCACTGTGCTAAGTGCTGGGCATACAGAGAATGGCAAAAGCCAGCATGTGTTCACAGCCCCACGGATGGATGGATGGATGTGGTCAGGCTGGGGAAGGCACGGCTTTCTGAGCCCTGAGTCAGCGTGGGTGCCTGTGTGTGGGTTCTGCTACCAGGGAGCCGGCGACTAGTGGACGTGATGGACGTCAACAGCCAGAAGGGCACGGAGATGAGCATGTCCCAGTTTGTGCGCTACTATGAGATGCCTGAGAGCCAGCGGGAGAAGTTGTACAACGTCATCAGCCTCGAGTTCAGCCACACGAAGCTGGAGAACCTGGTCAAGAGGCCTAATGTGGTAAAGACCGTTGATCCCTCCCTCCCTTCCCCAGGGACACCCATCTCCACCCTCCTTGGCCCTGGGTGCTGCTGATGGCGGAGCAGCCTGGACTCGGTCATGAGCCGGGGAATCATGGGATTGTAGTAGACACAGAGCCAGAAGGGACCTCAGAGGTCACCAAATCTTTCCCCAGAGGAGACAGCTAATACCCAGAGAGGGTTAGTGACTTACCCGAGGTGACACAGGTATATTTGAACCTAGCCTCCTTCGAATCCAATGCTCATTCCATTCGTTGCTCCATGCTGCCTGTTCTATATCATTGGCTGAAGTGGTAATTGAGATTGGAGGAAGAAGGTTGGAGAATACTAGGGAGGAGGCGATGTTGGCAGTGACTAACACTGTGACCAGATCCTGGCTCTGGGGGCTGTCCTGGGGAGAAGAAAGGGTGGTTCAGCTCTTGAGATGGAGAGGGTGTGTTACAGGTGGCTGAATACTGGGGGCTTAGATAAAGCAGGTGAGCTATTAGGGAATCTCTCCAGATTCTTCCTTGGAGCCCAAGGTCCACAGTGTCTAGGGCCCGTAGTCCAGTTCAGCTCAACTTAACCCAATTCATTGTAATCTGATTGATTCAACTTGACACAGTTCAACCCAATCCAGTCCAGTCCAAGCCAATCCAACCCAATTTAAATCAGCATAATCCACTTAATTCAGTTTGACACAGTTCAGCCCAATCTAGTCCAGTCTAAGCCAACCCAACCTAATTCAAATCAGTTTAACCCAATCCAAGTCAAGACCATCCATATAATTTAACTAAACCAATCTAATCCAACCGTCATCTGTTAAGTGCCTCCTGAGTGCCAGGTGCTCCTAAAGGCATTTATGTTCTACTGCAGTGAGGATGGGGTGGTGGTGGTGGTGGTGGGGAGATCCAATATGTAAACAGAGAATAGAGAGCACTCAGCCAGGTAAGGAGATCAGGGAAGACTTCCCGTAGGAGTTGGTAGCCAAACCCAGCCTCAGCAGAAGTGTGGGATTCCAGGAAGTGGAGGTGAGAATGGAGGGCATGGCCTTCAGAGATACTCTGATCCTGGCAGAGAAGGAAGGATGGGGCCTCCACGCCAGGCCGAGCCAAGCCAGGGGCAGCTGCCCTGACGGGTGCGTGGTTCTGTGGCTTTCAGATCGACTTGGTGGATTGGGTAGACAACATGTGGCCCCAGCACCTGAAAGAGAAGCAGACGGAGTCTACCAATCTCATTGCAGAGATGAAGTACCCCAAGGTTAAGAAGTAAGGCCATTCAGGGTTGGGGGTGGAGGGCAAGGGGGTGGCGGTGTGGGCGTGGGTGTAGATGCCCAGTTTAAAGGGAGGGCTGAGGAGTGGAGAAGGGCTTCCTGTTATTCTGGTCCAGCCTTCTAGGGGACACTTCAAACTCTTCCTTGGGGATTCTTCCAAGTGTCCCCACACCCCTGGACCTTGGTCTTAAGCAGAAAGGGCACAAATCGTCAGAATCCAACAGACATTATTAAGCGCCTGCTGTATGCTAGTCGAGGTCATAGATGCTAGGGATACAACAATAAAATGAAAAAATAGCCCCTTCCCTTGAGGAGCTTACCGCTACCGAGCGGGTACAACTTGGCGACAGGCAGCATATTGTAGTGGGCAGATTGACATACGTGGAATCGTGCTTGGAATCAGACCTTACTTGAGCTACTTATTACCTGTGTGAACTGGGTAACATGCCTAGAGAGATACAGAGATGACCACCATCACTGCCATCATCCAGACTCTGCCACAGCCCAGGTAAGGGCCCTGGTCTTTCCTGGGCCTCTCTTTTCCCGTCCTTGTAGTGGGTAGAATAGCCCTTGCCTTTGTCACTAGTAACATGAAGGTTCTTTCCCTAGAAATGTCAGCCCCACTGGCTCAGAAACCATTGGGGTATCTCATGAAAGCCCTGCCTCCCTAGTGAATCCCCCAGGGGAATTCCAGCATGGTAGACTTGAGTCTCTGGGCCTGCCTCCCACCTCTTTGGTTTCTTTGTCCTCTTTCCTCCTCTTAGATCCAAGGCTTCAGTCTGGGGCCAGAGCAGGAGCCCAAAGTCAGGCCAACGGGAAAGGGCTTTGAGATCCCAGGCCTCAGCTTCTCCCGTTGACCGTCATGTGACCATGACCCTGAATCAGGCGTTTCCTTTCCTGGTCTTAACTAAGTGTATGATTTTAAAAAAGATCTGGGTCTGGGGCAGCAAGGTGGTGCAGTGGATAGAGCACCAGCCCTGAAGTCAGGAAGACCTAAGTTCAATTCCAGCCTCAGACCAAACACTTGACACTTACTAGCTGTGTGACCCTGGGCAAGTCGCTTAACCCCAAATTGCCTAAAAAAGCAAAAAAAAAAAAGATCTGGGTCTAAATCACTTTCCACAAATGCCATCATATACCAGTCTCTAGGCAGGCATACCCCACATTAGGTAAACCCAGTATACTGGGGGATCTTTATTCACACAAAAGAAAAATTAGCAGGATCATCACTCCAGTTACAGAAAATGTCCTTCACTTTTGCCCAAAAAGCTTTTAGAATGCGATTCTTATAAAGAGCAATGTAAGGTGCTTTTTTGTTTCCCCATTGTAAGAGAATTTGTTGAATTAGGTTTACACACAATCCTTCGGGGCTCATTCTGTTCTAATTTGCCTATTGTGTTATAGGGCAGATAGATTTCCCAGCTCCAGCTGGTGGCCAGGGGAGTGTCTTATGAATACTCCAATTGTAATAGAAAGAAAATCGTCATCTTGGAGGGAGTCCATTTTTTCCCTTAAAAAGAATGTGGATGTCATTTAACAAATGTAGGTGAAAAAGACTGGACTTTGGGGGGCAATGTTTAGGGTTTTGTTCATTAACAACAGTGATAATAATAACAACAATAATGATAACACTAATGATAATAACAATAGTAATAGCTGGTGTCTAGTGCTTACTACGTGCCAGGTGCTGTGCTAAGCCCGGCAGGTAGGTGCTAGTATTATCCCCATTTTACCAATGAAGAAACCGAGACAGGTGAAGTGGTTTGCCCAGGGCCTTGCAGCTAGTAAGTATCTGAGGTTGGATTTGAACTCTGGTCTTCCTGAAACTTTATCCATCATCATCGTCATCACTAGTATTTCTATTTTGCCTACTGTGTGGCAGGCACTATACTAAGTGCTTTACAAATATTATCTCTCTCTTTCTCTCTCCCCCTCTCTCTTTCCCTCTTCCTCTCTCTCTTCTCTCTCTCTCTGCTCTCTCTCTCTCTCTTCTCTCCTCTCTCTCTCTCTCTCTCTCTCTCCTATCTCTCTCTCTCTCTCTCTCTCTCTCTCTTCTCTCTCTCTTCTCTCTCTCTCTCTCTCTCTCTTCTCTCTCTCTCTCTCCTATCTCTCTCTCTCTCTCTCTCTCTCTCTCTCTCCTATCTCTCTCTCTCTCTGTCTCTCTCTCTTCTCTCTCTCTCTCTCTCTCTCTCTCTCTCTCTCTCTCTCTCTCCCCCTCCCCCTCCCCTCCTCTCTTTCCCTCTTCCTCTCTCTCTCTCTCTCTCTTTCTCTTTCTCTTTTTACAAGCATGTTCTCTCAAGACAACTAAGTAGCTCAATGGTTAGAACACTGGGCCTGGTGTCTGGAAGACCCGAGTTCAAATATGGCCTCAGACACTAACTGTATGATCCTGAGAGAGTCACTTAACTGCCGTTTGCCTCAGTTTCCTCAACTGTTTAATAGGAATAATAATAGCAACCTATTTTCCAGGTTTGTTGTGAGAATCAAATTAGATAATGTTTGAAAAATGCCTTAATGTGGTGCCTGGCATGTAGTAGGAGCTTGATAAATGTTTATTCCCATCCCTCCTCCTCTTACCCTAAAGTAAGAGCTGTTAGGCACCTGAGATGTTGATGGATTCAATTCTCTCGTATTACAAGAAAGAAAACGGAATGCCAGTGATTTTCAATACCTGCAGGTCAGGTAGCAGATCTGAGATCCCAACGCGGGTCCTCCCAATCCATGTCCATCACTTTTAAGGATGCCTGTTAGCTGATGTTGTTTTCTGTGGTCCCTCCTACCTTTGACCTTCTGTGCTCTAAGCTGTCTTCCAGTGGTGATCCTTTCTGTCTTGTGAGGTCCTTGTTAACTGCGATTCTCATGTTGTAAGTGCAGGGGTAGGAAACAGAACATATACTTTTAGTAAGGGGTTTGTTTTGTGAAATTTGGATTCAGTCAAAAGGCCCCACTTGAGGACCTAGAGGGCCTCATGTAGCCCTGAGGCCGAAGGTTCCCCACCCCTGTGTCTAAGGCTTCTTCCAGTTCTGAAGTTCTAAGGACCCCTCCCCCCACTTCTGTCACTTTGTGTTCTAAGCTGCCTTCTAATTCTAACCTTATTTTAAAAACAAGCTTTATTGATGTTTTTTTAAAATGATAACTTTTGCTTCTCAGTGCCACTCCTCCAGTAGAGATTTCCTTTTTGACAGAGAAGTATGGTTAAGAAAGACAAACTAATGCACTGTGCCTGTTTGATGACACACGCCTTATTCTACACCCATAGCTCACCACCTCTGTGCTAAGGTATCCTCACTGTCTGTCCAATGAAGTCAGTTCATGGCATTCAGAATTCTCCAAATCTTTCAGTGTTGTTTTCCTTAATATTGTTGTCATTATGTTTGTCTTTCTGACATTCTGTGTAAGGCCCCTCCTGGCCCTGGCATTCTATGCTGTCAAGGCCCTCCAAGGTATGACATTCTCTCTTCTCATGTCCTTCCAGCTTTGACATCCTGGGTTCTAGGCTTTCTCACCTCTGAGATCAACTTCATTTTATCCAATGCAGTTGTTTGAGTAGAGTTGTTAGCATGTCGTCTCCCCGTTAGAATGTGAGCCCTTCCAGGGCAGAGACTGTCTTTCGTTCTTTCTTTCTTTCTTTCTTTCTTTCTTTCTTTCTTTCTTTCTTTCTTTCTTTCTTTCTTTCTTTCTTTCTTTCTTTTCTTTCCTTCTCTTCCTTCCTTCCTTCCTTCCTTCCTTCCTTCCTTCCTTCCTTCCTTCCTTCCTTCCTTCCTTCCTTCCTTCCTTCCTTCCTTCCTTCCTTCCTTCCTTCCTTCCTTTTCCCATTCCTTACTACAGAGCACCCTCAATAAATGCTTACTGGCTTGCCTTCAGGCCCCTTCTAGCTCTGATATTCTCTGTTCTAAGGCTCCTCCAGGTTTGACATTGTCTGTTCTAAGGCCCCACTCCGTGTTCTGAGATTCCCTGTTCTAAGTTCCTTCCCAGCTCTAGCATTCTTTGTTCTAGGGGTCCTCCCAGCTATGACACTCCATGTTCTAAGAACCCTTTGAGTTCTGGTATTTCCTGTTCTAAGGCCTCTCTCTCCCAGCCCTGACATTCCTTGTTCTAAAGCTTCCCTCCTCTCCAACTCTGATATTACCTGTTCTAAGGCCCCTCCCAGCTCTGACATTCCCTGTTCTGAGACCCCCTCCTTCTCTGACAGTCTGTGTTCTAAGGCCCCTCCCAGCTCTGACATCCCCTGTTCTAAAGCCTCTCTCAGCTCTCCATCCTATGGACCCAAGGATATATTGCTAGATCTCACTACTCTATCTCACACTCTGTGTGCTGGGCTCTCTGCCTCTAAACAGAATTACCAACTTGGAAAATGCTACTTTTAAAATGTTTTCCTAAGCGCTTTTCCTTTGTGATCTTTTTAAAGAGTGACCTCAAAGAGTCCATACTTAGCCTGAGGCTATTGGAACAAACCATAGCAGCTGCTTGCATGGTAGCCCCTTTAAAGTTCTCAATGCCCTTTCTCCCCATGTGGCCTCTGGATGGATTCCTCCCATTTTATAGTCCGGCAGACTGAGGCACAGTCAGAGTGGTCACACTGGGTCACAGAGCTAGGAAACTACAGAGGCCAGATTCCAACCTTCACACCCACTTTCCAGGCTCCAACCCCCTTTTCTCTTGGCCAGAAGTGCATTCATGGCATTGCCTCTTAATGTTGATTTCCATAATATGGCTCCTGGTGTTGGGTACCACGAGCACCCAAGAATCCTCTGGAACCTTGATATCTTTGGGGATATTTCTTCTAGCGATGATGATAAGAAAGAAAAATGGTGGGAAGGAGGAGCATGATATGTTTTGTTTATCCCCTGTGCCCCTAAAAGGAGAAATTCCATGTTCCTCCCAATCTCCTTCCATCCTGTTGAGCGCCATCTTGGGTAGGTCATGGGATCTAGATTTACAGCTGGAAGGGACCTCATCTTAAAGATAAGACCATGGAATCCCAGGGAGCTGAGT